AGATATGTGTGGGTTGGGAAAGTTAAAGAAATTGTATTTATTATTTAGCCATATTTTTTTGACGAAAATATAGAGCGTCGGTATAACTCCCAACGAGGTCTCAATTTCATAGAAATATCGATAAAATGTCGATATCGATGGATATTTTTGTAAAAATTAGAACAATTAAAAAAATCGTAAAAATCTTAAATGAACAAATAAACATTTTACTCTTTCTAAATTAGTTAAAAATAAATCGGATATTTTTCATATTTTGTCGATTTTCTTGTACTATGATGGAAATGTCGATTTACAACTCATATCGATATCGAACCTATGAAAACGTGAATATGTCGATGAAAATATCGACGTGTCGACGAATATTTAAAATCATACTTTCAACGTTAATCGTTTTTGTTGGAAATATTCCTGACGTTTACTATCAACTTCTTGAGACGCACAAAAACAACTCGCTGACATTGGTGTTAGAAAACATTCATTAATATGTATAGTAGAAGATCAAGATGTATAAATAAATGCATAATGTGGAAGAATAAAATACAAAGATTTTATAAAGCTACAAAATTTAAATACCCTTATAAATAGTCCTCAAGAAGAGTGTCTATTGGAACTTGATACCCAAAAATCATGGAATAATCATCCAATTCTTCTTCATCATCAACAGATGTGAACTTTGGGATTCTCAAGCTCTTTGCTATCTCTGAATCATGGCCTTTAGTTAGCACCTCCAATACCTATATATTTCATTTAAAAAAAAGGCTTGGGTTAATATCTTTAATACTAAAATAAGGCAAGATAGATTGCTAATTAATGATTTAATTCTTTTTCTAGTACAAGATTAACTTCATATTCTATTTTGATATGTTTTAAGCTTTTGAATAATTTAATGGTTAATCTAAATGGTACTAAAGTTTTATCAAAAAAAAAAAAAAGTACTGAAGTAGGATCACGATCTCGAAAATTTAATGAAGTCATTTTAGAATATTTATGTTTTTTGTTTTTAATTTTTAAGAAATGGATGCTAGTTTTTTTCCTATTTAATTTTTATAAAACATTCCTAAAGTTTGTATAGATCAAAATGGCATAACAATTTTGAATATTTTACACTTTTAAAAATTTAGTTTCCAATGAACTCCTTTTTTTTTCATATAAAATTTCGACCCATAAACAATAAAATAATTAACACTGGCCCTTTGTATTTTTTTTTTTTTGCTTTTTTTTATTTCATGATCTTGAAATATCAATTCCTTCTTATTTCATATTAATAATAGTTCACACATGAGAGCTCAAAATTAAAAAATAATATTCAATCTAACACATGAAAAACGTTAAAAATATATTAAATAATTCAATTTAACCGAACTATTTAGAGAAGATATTTGACTCACGAGATATGTATACATATATATAATCTAAAGTTGTGAAGTTGAGCCTACTTTTAATAGTTTACTTGTTTCGAACTACGAATTCATCATTTTTTTTCCTATCAATTTACAGTTAACACAGTCTCTTTTTCTTCATTTGAAGGCAAATAATTAATGTCGACTAAGAACATAGGAAAAGGTAGACGACAGGCACAGTGTAACACTTTTTAGTACCAAGTTGGTCCATCCGATTCATAATTGAATCCCAAACCCACAGCTTTTATATCAATGTCTTATCATGTCAATAGCATACCTCGCTCATCGATGGCCGCTCGACCGAGGACTGTCGAACGCACCAAGAAGCAGCCAACACGACTCTCTGCAGCTCCTCTGCATCGTATCTGCCCTTGAGCCTCGGGTCGGCCAGTCGCCCGATCTCCCCCGATTCCATCAAAGGCTTTGCCTACAAAACCATCCCTTTTTGTATTTAATTTTTTACTTTTGAAAATTATGCAAGAAGTAAGGAATTAATATGATTTTAAAACAAAAATTACAAACAAAAACAGGCCTTACGAGGCGAAAGGTGTTGAGAAGGGCATTACCCATAAGAGAAGGCTTTGTTTGGATGAGTCCACAGGCCTTCTGCCAGTGACAATTTCTAAGAGAAGAACTCCAAAGGCGAATACGTCTGTTTTCTCATCCACTAAACCGTGCATGAAATATTCTGGAGCCAAGTACCCAAACGTGCCCTCTATTGGAACCACTGCATGGTGTGTCCATTTGTTTGGAAGCCATTTTGCTAGCCCAAAGTCCGTTATCTGCCTCGTCCATCAACAAAATCTCGATATAATGAGTTAAGAAGAAGAAAAAAGTCTTCTTTCTACCAATATATCGTGCACAACTGAAGTCTCGTATTAGTTAGAAGCAAAGAAGATGATAATTTGTAAGTAAAAACGATAACTTTTTGGATGGAGAGGATAAAAGCGAGTTCATATATGATAGGCGAGTTTATGATGCCTTTTAAAAAAATATTTTTAGATGAAACATTTATTTCATAAGAACTTTGAAAGAACACTTTTAGAGTTTAAAATTTTTTTTAATCTATTTTTAGTTATGAAATTTTTTAAAAAGAACACTTTTAGTTCTCTGGGATACTTTAAAGTGTATGTCAAATAAACAATCTCAATGAATGAGAGAGAAATCTCGAACAAACTAAAATCTTATGCATGTCGGGATTAAGAGGAGAAGATTGTTTAACCTTTCTCAATCGAGTACGAAAGTAAATTCATCTCGACAAACAATCTTATATCATTTCATCACAGAGCTAAAGAATGTGACTAAAGTCCTATATCGGTTATTGTAACGGCGGGTAAATATTCAAAATTTTCTTACCTGGGGTTCATAATCAGGGCCAAGAAGAACATTGGAAGCTTTGATGTCTCTGTGGATTATGCGATGTTTACAACATTTATGGAGATAGTGTAAACCCCTTGCAATTCCCACGCCAATCTTGTATCTCACTGGCCATTCCAATATCTTGCTTGTTTTGCCTGTCCAAATTTCACCACTTTTCTCAATCATTTTTCTTAACAAAAGAAAATAAAAAGTTTATATCCTAGTCTAATACTTTGAATTTTTGGATCTAGTGGGTTGATTTAAGAGAATAAAAGTAAATAGGGCAAGAGATATTAAAGAATGAAATCAAATGATTTAGCTTATTGTAAAAGGTCAAATCTATATCGCTATGGATTACAACAGGTTATGCAAATCTAGTTCTCTACAACGTATTCTTTTATATATGATTTGGAAATGCATTACTGTACAACTTATTCTTTCATCACCTTATGCTAATTAAATTTGTTTTGAGGTGCAACTCCATGAATATTTATAATGGTATAAGAGCCTAACACGCTCAAACAAGCACTTGATTCCCAAAAAATAAGATTAGGATGTGGTCATGATTGGGAAGTTCAAAAGAGTCATCATCTTGAGAGAGGGCATATTAAAGATCCATTGAAAAGATAAAGAACTTAACAAATGATTTATAATATACATGATCAGCTAACTCCTCTAATTGCCAATTGGCTAGTTTTCAGATGAAACCCATGTGAGTATTGATAAATCTAACTATTTATCTACATATCGAAAGAGTTATTTGGTTTATGGGTTTCGAAAGTCTAAGAAAGGGAATAAGTAAAGGCATGAGAAATGAAAGAAGAGTTTTTTTGTTTATTACCATGCAATGCAGAAGAAAGGTTTCCATTTTGGGAGAAGTTGAAGATGAGATAAAGGCCATTTTCAATGCAGCAGCCAAGCAAGGTAGCTGTGTTTGGATGGAAGACATGGCCAATTATTCCCAATTCCATTAGAAACTCTTTCTCCTTGTTTGAATCTTTGTTGTCCTTTGTCAGTCTCTTCACTGCAATTATCTTCCCATCACATAGCTCTCCTTTGTAAACTTCTGAATATCCACCTTGCCCTGCCATCTTATCTGTTTTCATTTCAAACACAGACTAAATCAAAACCTACTTTTTATTTATTAAATCAAAATCAATAAATAAGTCTTTTTCTTTCTTCTCCATCGAGGGGCAGGGACAAAAATTTGATTTTAAGGAGCCGTTTGATTGGTGGGAATCCAAGATTCCTGTTTGACGGATATCTCAATTCTATGTTTGTTTTACGAGAATGTAGGATACTCGGGAATCTTGAGATGCCCAACTATCCTATAATGCCCATATGGGAGACATCTTACGAGTATGAATGTCCAAGATTCTGGTGTCGAGGGCATCCTCGACTCGCCACATATTTACCCTTCATTTCTTTCTCAAATACAATTTTACATTGTTTCAAGTGTGACCAAATCATAATATAAGATCCACCTCCGTTTTAAAAGATAATAAAAGGGTTATTTTGAAACGGATCGAGGGTTAAAATAAAGCATTTTAAACAATAAAGGTATAATTTGTATTAAGAATCTTACATTGAAATAAATTAGTGACAGTTTATAATAAAAGTGCGTCACTCCTCTGACATGTTCCACGTCAGACCTAACAAAAATTCCTATTTTAATATTATAATTCACAATTTATGTCATTTTTGTAAAATCTTAAACCTAATCCTATGTATATAAAAATACATATTTCTTTTGTGTGATATTTTCATAATTCTCTTATTCTAAATTTGAAAAACCTTATCTATAATTAATCCAGAAGAAGTAGGGGTTAAAAGTAAAACCTGGGTGGAAATTATTGGTGGCATTTACAATCTCCTGATAGCTGAAGCATCTCAGCAAAGGCTGACCCGATTGCTTATCAGAAAAGCTGCAATTTCTTTTCCGAAATGGTGACCCCAGAAACGAAGAGATCAGCTTACACGGCGACAACCGCCGCCGCGGCTCCCCCGATAACGGTTTCAAATGGGAACCTAGYGGCAGCGGTGGCGGCGGAGATTCGATAGTGCTTAAAATGGAGTCGCCGGAGGTGGAGGAGTCCTCCTCCTCCGTCGTGGTGGTGGTGTTTGAAACGGAGTAGTCGCCGGAGGCTTCCACCTCGTCCTCTGCCGCCGCGCGCGTCGGCGCCCTCCCGTTCTCTGTTTTTGGAACTATGTAGTCCTCGCGCTCGCATTTATCTTCTCCTGTGATTTGAAAATGATTGTTGGTAATATTATAATTTATAGTTATGTGAAGTTTGGGCCCCTAATTATGAGCATTTCGTGTTTATGAAGATTGTTCTCTAATAATGTTTTAAGGAAATTTTATTTTTATTTGTTTTTTTTAATCTTAATTTTAGAGTTTTAATTAATTTTTTTAATACCCTCCATTAATTAAGTTTTTATAGCATGCTTAGCTATAAACTTTGGTAGATAGTGGTGGATCTAAGCTTATAAATGTCGAATTAACAAGTTAACTTGACAAAGTTTGATACTTATTAAAAACTTTTTCAAATTCAGAAATGAGATAGATACAACCGTGAAGAAGTACCATATAAAAATTTTTAGAAGTAGACATAACTCTAAACTTAATAATAAAATAATGATGGTATTGATCTATGAAACTGCCTAAAACAAAATGATATAATAAGTTTTTTGTTAGTTATATTTTACCTTTAGATTGAAGAGAATCAGAGTCCCAATTTTGCTGCAACTTTTCATGCTTTCCCAAGAAGACCAAAGCACATTTCTCAGGAGCATTCTCAAAACAATACCTTGCAATGCTGGGAGTTCTAATTGAAAAGAAAATAAACCAAAAAAAGATAGAAAAACAAAACCATTATTACTCATCAACTCTCAAAACTTAATTTGCATCTAAAGTAACTCAACATCTTAATTTTTTAGCATTTAGCTTTTTCTTTACCTGTTTGATCCGTTTCTCGTGCCACGAACAACGAGAAAATCAGCTGAAATCGCCTTCGCTTCCTCGGTTAGACCTCTTTCGATGCTTGTGTTGAAACCAACCCTTGCCTCCAAATTTACCTGAAGATGACGTTCATTTTCAAAGTCCCATGTCAATTACCATTTAATATGATCTTTTTTAGTAAAGTTCAAAAATGAAACTGGGTAAATTAGTGTCCAAAGTAGATAATATCATAAAAACTGCATTATTTTTAACATAGTTCTTGTACATGATCGATACCTGTTTGAATTGACTGATGTTGGCAAACTCTCCCAGAATCGATATCACGTAGGCTTTTGCTCGACGAAGCTGCGACTGAACTTTTGTCGTCGTTGTGGTCGATCCACGCTTCTTCGTATCCTCACTAACTGCCATCCAATTCAAAGAAAACAAAGAAAATTTGAGAGGCACGAATTAAACTTACAAGAGTATAGAAAAGTTGAAACAAGTGGAAAATCTAACCAAGAACATGAGTAGCAACAATGCAGTCATGTTGATGAGCTAGAACATTGATTGCCCAGGAAAGAAGCTCCTTGCTCTTGTCGACGTCGTCGGAAGGGATACCGACGAGTATCTTAGCCGGGCACGAGAAACCCATCTTCCTCTTATCACTCACTACCAAGAAAAATGAAACTATTCAATTGGACTATTTGAGGTGATCTATGCAATGTAAAGAGAAGTTTTTGTTATGTTTTCTTGTGTGTGTATGTGAAGAAGACCCTATGGAGAAATGGAAGTTTGAAAGTGAGCTTAAGAAAGAGTTTAGAAATGCAACAAAATGATTAAGTTCAGTAGAAGTGTGAGGCCACCTTATCCTACAGCATTCATTCCAATATTCTTGTTAAAGAAGCATAAATGAAAACTTTCTCAATGTAGGAACAAACAAAAGTTATTCTCTCTCTTATTTTTCTTTTGATTTCTCAAAGGGCATTGAATTGTTTTGTGGTTGGGTGCTTTGAGGAATAAGCAAAGGTATGGAGGAAATCATGCATTTTATGATTTTGTCGTGCCATGAAAGCCAAATAATTTTTTGGAAGCCCTTTTTTCATAACTTATATAGGGCATTGTGCTTTAATTTGTGGGATTTGGTAGGAAAAGTTATTAGAGCCACTTAGAAAGGACTTCTTTTTCACTTTATTACCAACACAAGCCTTGAGAATGCACCTTCTTGTTCTTTAACTTTTTTGGTTGGTCCATTTATTTATATGTTTTTGTTCTACAAGATACCAATATTGGATTGAATAAGATATATTCAAAAGTGTAAAATGGTAGTAGTACAATTTAGGTTTTTAAATCTCAATTTGGTTTATGAAATTACTTTCAAAATGATATTTTAATTTTTGGATACCATTTTGATCCTTACTAAGTACTATTATTTTTTTCAAAGTGAAAATCTATATAGGCACCTAATTAAGCTATGCGCCGCATGCGGCATGTTAATATACATGTAATTGAAACCACATTAATTTACTTAAAAAGCAAAAATAAGATAAAGGATCATAATGATTTTTTTAAAAAAATATGGTTTAGAGACTAAAAATGGACATTACATACCTTCTATATAAATTTCAAAATTCATTTCTAATATCATTTAAGACGATAAACAAAGATTTGTAGCCAATGTTCGAAATGTCGAGGTCTCGATTTTATGGATATGTCGATGGACATGTCGATGTCGACGGATATTTCGGAAAAAATTAAAGAAATTATAAAAATTGCTGGAAATTGTTTAAATTAATAAATGTTACTTTAATGATAGCTTAATTAGCCTATAATTAATCACTTTTAATCATTAYAGGTAAAAAAATGAGTAATTTACTTTTGAAAATGTCAACATCGATGAAAATATCAAAGCAAGAAAATGAAAATTAATGACTAATCAAATATATTTTTTAATTACATAATTAAATCAGACATTTAATATCAATATTATGATATTTTTATGTCAAATAACATACATAATAAAATTTTAAATAAATTTTCATGATTTTGATAAGAATACAAGAGAAATAGAGGAAGAGGTGATAAAAAGAAATTACTTAATATATTTAAAATAAATATTAGTAAAAGAACATAAAAATTTATTTATTAAAAGAATTTAAAGAAATATTAGAGCAATTTAAAAAGAAAGAAAAGAAGGAGTAATAGAAATATAAGAGTGGAGAAAAGAATTCAATTTTAAATTAAAAAAAAAAAAAAAGAATAACTTGAGGGACAAATTTTGTCCCATCCCACATCACTCGGAGCGTGAAAGGCGAAGGGAGTATTATCCTCTATAAATACTCTCCTCCCATCCCTTTTCCACGCAATTAATACAAGGCTGGGATGGACTCTTCTTATTTTCTTATTTTGAGCCAGGCACCAGCAAATGGTCATCTAAGAGATCATACCTATTGTACTTAAAAAAATTAAATAATAAATTAAATCACGAGCATGCAATTGAAAGAATAGTGGAAGACATTATAGTAAAGAGACTTAACATCTCAAAGAAAGAAATTCATTTTGGTAAGTCAGCCGAGTGAAGAAATCCCCAATTTTACAATTTTGGAATTTAGCGATTTCGGAATTATCCCAAATCGCTAATCCTGGCCCCTCCAATCTAACCAAATTTCCTCTTTAAAATCATTTTCTAAATGTCGGGATTAAGTCGATAGTTTTAAAATCGAGGGACTAAATAGAAACTTCTTTTCAAATTCAGATAACAGAAGTGTATTTTATCCCAAAAATTGGAGATACGAAGGTCTAAATCTCTTATCTTAGATGTGAAGACAGCTCATGTGTATTTCATATATTGAGGAGTTTTTACGTCTCTCTTGCCTCTCTATACAAAGGCTTCTCTGTACGTTCTCAAGATATGAATGAGAAGATCAAATGGCTTTTCTTTTAGAGTTTCAATATTGTATCAAAACGGAAGGTCCTGTATTCGAACCCTAGCGTAGGAGCTCAAGTCATACGACAGAGTTCGATTAAAATTTTTTTCTCACAAATACAGAAGCCGATTCTACCGGGCCAGATATTGAGATCAACCTAGATCTGGTCCTCAAATAGTACAAGAGGTTATGGCTCTTCTTTTGACACAAGAAAATAGAATTGGTAGTAAGAATGTCGTAGTTAACTTTGATGGAACTCCTCCGTTCCTCAATACAATTCTGGTACTAATAATAGAGGTCGGGGTCGAAATAGTAGAGGGGGAAAGCAGTGGAATGACAGAGGACGTGTTCAATGTCAATTATGTGGTCGTTTTGGACATACTGCTGTAAAATGCTATTCTCGTTTTGATCCTTGATTTCAGGGGCCTCACAATTCGAGTTCTGGTAGTCATGTGCCTTCGTTTCCATCTCCACATTTCTCTACTGGTCCTTCTCAAATGTCTGTGTTACTCACTGCCCCTGATTTGAATCAGGATACAAACTGGTATCCAGATTCCGGTGCTACTAATCATTTGACAAATAACTTTAACAATTTGTCTGTACCATTTCACTTTAGTAATACTTCTTTTCAAACTTCAAATAATCGTATCTTTCATCTTAATAACTTACTCCATGTTCCTCATATTACCAAGAATTTTATCAGTGTCAGTCAGTTTGCTAGAGATAATTCAGTATTTTTTGAGTGAATGACCAAAGTACTGGCACCACTCTTCTCCAAGGGACTCTGCATGATGGAATGTACCGGTTTCAACTCTCTCCTCTTCCTTCTGCTCATCTATCCACTAGTAGCTATTCTTCTCCAGTTTTGTCTCATCCTCCAGCTGCTATGGTTTCATCTTCTACATTTTTATCTACTGATATGAACACTTCCCATGTTGATTTGTGGCATAGGCGGCTTGGACGTCCTGTCCTTCCAATTGTTAGAAAAATAATAAATATACACAAACCATATATTTCTTCCATGAAATTTCACTTTTGTAATGTTTGTGCTGTGGGAAAGTTTCATTCTCTCCCTTTTATTCCTTCTAATACTGTGTATACTGCCCCATTGCAATTAATTGTTTCTGATTTGTAGGGTCCTACTTTTACAGCTTCCAATAATGGTTTTAAATATTACATTAGCTTTGTGGATGCCTTTTCTGGTTAAACTTGGATTTACTTTCTTCATTCCAAGTCAAATGCATTTTCTGTGTTTCATCAATTTAAAACTATGGTTGAGAAACAATTAGGTTGTTATATACTGTGTTTTCAATCGGATGGGGATGGTGAATTTAAACCTTTCACTCCTTTTCTTCAAAAACATGTATTCTTCTCTATGTCTAAACAAAATGGGATTGTTGAACGTAAACATCGTCATATTGTTGATAGATATACTAGATTAGCTTTGTTATCTCAATCTTCTATGCCTCTTTCTTTTTAGGATGATGTTTTTGCTACATCTGTCTATCTCATTAACAGGTTACCTTCTACGGTTCTTAATTATGTGAGTCCGTTGGAGAAGTTGTTTTGTCATAAACCTAACTATTCTTGGTTAAAAGTGTTTGGATGTAAATGTTTTCCTTGTTTGCGTTCTTTTAGTGCTCACAAACTTGATTTTCGTTCTCAACCTTGCACTTTTATTGGGTATAGCAATAAATATAAGGGTTATAAATATTTGTCATCTTCTAGTAGAGTTTTTATATCTTGCAATGTTATATTTGATGAAAACTCTTTTCCCTTTGCAAAACCCAATATTCAGTCCTTTCCACAAATATCATCATCTACTTTTACAAATTCTTCTCTCCCTGTGTTGTCACCATCATCTTCTTTTCCTATTTCTACTCTAACAAATCCTGTACCCATTCCCTCGGTGGCTGATTTTTCTCCAAATATTTCGGTTCCAATGGCAACTGGTCCACTTGCTGTCTGTCCTATACCTGCTGCTCTTTGATGAAAATTTTGTTTCAACTCCCACGGTACCTGCTGTAACAACGGATACACATGTTGATGTACCAGCTATGTCTAGTGATGTGTCCTATCTAAGGTCTAATAACTCTTCATTGTCCACTGGTTTATTGAATGTTGCTACTGAATCAGTAGTTCCCATTGGTCCTTTAGATGGTTCTTTGTCTGGGGTTTCTTGTCTTATGGGTATTAATGCAGTTGGTCATAGCTCTCAGCCGACTGATATTTGTGCAGCACCTAGAGCTAATATTTGTGCATCACCAATCGGTATTAATGCGGCTTCATCTTCCTCTGTTCTTAATTCCCATCGATGGTAACTAGAAGTAAGAATGGTATTTTTAAGCCTAAAGCATTTATTATTGATTACAAATAGGTTGAGTCATCTTCTGTTAAAGAGGCTTTATGTCATGATCATTGGCGACAGGCTATGTCTGAGGAATATGATGCACTTATGCGTAATCATACTTGGGATCTTGTTCCTCAACCCTCTAATCAGAAGATAGTGGGGTCGTAAGTGGGTGTTTAAGATTAAAAGGAATTATGATGGCTCGATTTCTCGATATAAAACGCGTTTAGTGGCTAAAGGGTTCCATCAATCTCCTAATATTGATTACTCAGAGACTTTTAGCCCAATTATTAAATCCATCACTATTCGTATTTTGTTAATGTTAGTCTTAGCTCACAGTTAGCCGATTCATCAAATTGATATCAACAATGATTTTCTTCATGGTCTTCTTTCTGAAACAATTTATATGGAGCAGCCTGCTGGTTTTTCTTCTTCCAGCTCTCCTCCTCTTGTTTGACGCCTACGTAAAGCTTTATATGGTCTCAAATAGGCTCCCTGGGTTTGGTTTGATAGGCTGAGTATATTTCTTTAGACTCTGGGTTTTGTAAATTCTAAAGCAGACTCGTCTTTACTCATTCGACATACTTCTTCTCATTGTTGTTACATCTTGGTGTATGTTGATGATATTCTAATTACAAGAAGCTTCACGACTATGATTTCTCAGTTGATTTCTACGCTTCATCGTCAATTTTCATTGAAGGATTTGGGGTGGCTGAGCTATTTTCTTGGTATTGAAGTTTCAAATCCTCCTCAAGGTGGACTATTTCTATCTCAGTCTAAATATATCATGGATCTTCTTGTTAAAGCTCGTATGGCTGAGGCTCATGCTATTTCAACTCCAATGGTGAGTGGTCCTTTGTTATCTGCTAGACAGGGTGATAAGTTTGTTGATGTTCATCAATATAGGGGTATTGTCGGTGCTTTGCAATATGCCACTTTGACTCGCCCTAATATTTCTTTCAGTATCAATAAAGCCTGTCAATCTATGCACTCTCCTACTTTGGTTCATTGGCAATTGGTGAAACGAATTCTTCGTTATCTCAAGGGTATAGTGGATCATGGTCTTCTGTTATCCAAACCTTCTCAGTTTTCACTTCATGGTTATGTTGATGTTGATTGGGCGTCGGATCCAGATGATAGAAAATCAACGTCTGGATTTTGTGTATTTTTTGGTGGAAACCTTGTTACCTGGGGTCCAAGAAACAATCTATTATTTCTCGTTCAAGTACAGAGGCTGAATATCGTTGTCTAGCTACTGCTGCCACTGAGCTGGTTTGGTTGTCTTCATTGTTTTCTGATTTACATATCTCTTTACCTCGCTTGCCTATTTTGTGGTGTGATAATCTTAGTGCAGTTCATCTCAGTGCAAATCCGGTGTTACATTCGAAGACAAAACATATGGAGCTTGATATTTACTTTGTTCGTGATCTTGTTCTTAATAAGAAACTTTTGGTTTATCATCTTCCTGCTGGGGATTAGGTCGCAGATATTCTTACTAAGCTATTATCTACTGTGAGTTTTGCACGTTTAAAGCTCAAGCTCAATGTTCGGGATCCTTCCTCCATTAGCTTATGTTGGGGTGTGTGAAGGCAACTTACTAAAGATGAATGACGTGGCTTGCCTATGTGGATTTATTAGTTTAGTCTTGTGGAATATTTTTGTTATTAGATTGTTAGTCTGTTTTTGTCTGTTAAAGTTTTCAATTCATGTGTATTTCATGTATACAGGAGTTTTATGCCTCTTTTGTCTCTCTATATAAAGGCCTCTCTGTACATTCTCAAGATATGAATGAGAAGATCAAATGACTTTTCTCCTGAATTTAGAGCTTTAGTATTAAAGAGAAATAGATGTTATTTATCGTTGAGCTGAGCTCATGATTGCATTAACTTGATTTTATTAGTACTATGTTTTCAACTCGATCTACTTTTATATTGCCAACATGAGCATACAACACTTAAGCCACTTTACTCATTTCCTTGAGATGGGAGGTTATATAAGAATTTTTCCAGTATATAGTACTCTCTTAATCTTTCCACCGACATGCGTATAACTTAACTGATCAAGACATTACTGACCTCTCTTAATGGTCAGAGGTCAAATATCCCTCCCGCCCTCATAATTTTTAAAATAAAAATCTTCATTTTTATGCTGCAAGTCATTCTCTCTTTCTTTCTGTTATTTTGGTTGCCTAATCCTACTTTATTTCATTCTTTTTCTTTCTCCTTTTAGTAAAGTTTATGAATCTTAAATTTCTTCAAATACCCAACCATTCCATTATTCCCTCTATGCCAACTTTCCTTTTGTGGCATCCCTTCCGAGAGAGAATGAAGGAAAAGCCATTCCTTTGCTCAAGCCAAAATGGGCAACTTCTACATTTATTTAAGATGTTCAAAAATATATTAAAACTAAATATATAATTAGTCCCTTGTCTTTTAAAAATTCAATATTATACCTTTTTTTTTTTATAACCCAGGAGTCGGCGACCCTTATTAAATTTGATGAAATAGGCGTACCAATTTCATCTCATAAAATACAAAAATAAAAAATAAAAAAATATATGTTAATTTGAACATATCTCAATTGATTATGGAGGGAGGTTCGAATTCACACCCTCACAATATTTTGTTGAACTAAAAAAAACAAAATCATTTCATTTGCCTGAACGCGTAGTAATAACTTATTTTACATGTCACCATTGACATATATCTTCAACCAAGAGGTTGTAAGGCACTTATCTTTACTTGCCAATCGGAGCACAATTCTCAACTGACTAAGGCATTTATCTCCGATCAAAAAGTCATGTCATGGGTTCGAATCTTCGTCCCATAGGGTAGTATTTAAAAAAAACTTATCTTGAAATTATTGGTTGCTATAAAAAATTGACATGTTAAAATGCTTTGTATAATAACTACTAACATCACAAAAATTATCATTTTTCAAATTCATATATCATCATCCTTCTTTTACATTTTAGTGATGGTAAGGATTTAATTTAAAGAAATTTAATGTACAAATGATAGAATTGAAAGTCCAAAGAGATCGACCATCAAATTATTTTTTTCTTAAAACAAAACTTAACTTGAAGTACAACTCTGCAATTCCACCCCTTCATGGCGACACATAATTTTACTACGACAATCTAAACTTAATGACATGGGTGTGGCTATGAAACTTGGGTTCACTTCTCCGGCCATTACTACCACAACCTTGTCATCAAAGTCATCCGGTGTCAGCGAATTCCGATCACCGCCGCCCTTGCCTTCGCCCGACTCCACATCTGCTGCTCGAGCAGTATCATCGTCACCGTTCGATCCAGATACATGAGGCTTCCAGCAGTACAAGCAGGTGAGGATCAAGAGACTGAAGGCAATGAGGCTTGATATGGCTGCAAGGCCGCCGAATAAGTACGGCACCGGCGAATGCCACGGTGTGGCGAGTGAAGCTGCCTCCATACTGGTAGAAGAATCTCCGCTGGCTGCCATGGCTTTATCTCTAGAGCATGTGAGTTTGATGTTTGTTTTCAGAGATTTTTGAGCTGGGAAAGAAGATAGGGGATGAAAATGAAGTGTGCATATGAGAAAGGTATATATATAAGAGAGAGAGAGAAGGAATATGGTGGGCAGTGGGGTCTAATTATGGAGGCATCAAACAAACTCAAGGAAGGGGATATAGAGCTAAGGAACAAATGAATTAATGAAAGGAAATAAGTAGAAGAAATGAACAATGCATATGATTTTGGGTAGGGATTTAGTTCAAGGGAATTCTATGGGAATTGGATATTTCTAAATGAGTTATTGTAACCTTTTTTTCAAGAAAGATACTCAAAACAAATTTGAGTGGTTAGGAATGGGATTATGGAATGATGAAATATTGTTAGGTCGTACACGGAGATATTGCTACATACTTTGTCTAGTTATAAGATATGATAAGTATATCTAGCTCGGAAAATGAAAATGAGATGAGATTTTACTTAAAGGAACAAAATGCCTTGGACACCTAATGGATCTTGAAGGACTGTTCCTGCATCTACCTGACCAAATTCTCCCACCTAAAAATTACTAATTAATGGTTCGTTGATCAAGTTGGATAGATTTGCCCTTTGAAACAAGGAAAATCTAGCAAGGTAAGTTAGAAAACTCGTCGTGGTATGGTGCAAATCCTATAAAAGACCAACCTTGGAAAGCCGAGCAATGAGAAAACGACGTATATCTTTAAAGAATAGGTCATTTTTCGTTACACACTGTATCTAGTGAGAATTAGTTAAGTTAGGCAGGGAATAACAAAAATATAATGATTATTCCTCTTTTTCATAAATAAAAGGTCAAATATCACTCCTTTTTACTCTGCTTCACACAAACTCTTATTTTTAACTTGAGCATCAAAATGATATTTAGTGAATATGGATGGTCATTTCTTTCCCTATATATATGTTTATAATGTCTCTTCTCCTCATCTTTAATTTCCTTCTCTGTCTTGTCATGCAGTCAATAAACTCGAGCAACTTTCCAACCAAAAATCAACACAGTATTTTTTTAGAGCAAAAATAAAACATAAGACAGCTGTTTGAGAAGAAACAAAGTTTATTGTATATTGAAACTCTTCGTAAAACAGAGGTCGGTAGTTTGCTATATTTTAAGATTAATTCAATGTGGGGATATTTTACTCTACAAGAAGATTCAAATCCTTTGGATTATCAAAACCCATCAACTTATAAGTGTATATGGCTTAAAGTTACTCTATATTAAAATGTTAAACTTAAAAGCTCTGTATTTTTTAGAGTGTTCAGAGTGTTCATTTGAGAAATTCTCGTGTTGCACCCACTTTTTATTGTCAATTTAAGATAGTTAAGGTATCAGTAACCTTCTTAAAAGTCGAAGGTCGAACTCATCCCACTCCTCGTGTGGAAAAAAAAGAAAAATAACTCATCTAATCCCTAAAGGCGTTTACTTTTGTCCTTTTAGTTGAACTTTTAGCCACTCTTATGACCAGTCCTAATAACATACCATGTTTCAATAGACTGCATGTCACCATATGACAGAGAGAGAGAGAAAATTACTTATTTCCACAAAGTATAGACAAAGATTAATGTTTTCCTTCTCTTTTTTTCCCCTAAGTTTCTAGTGTGAGAGAAGAAATGAGCAGAAAGTTCAGATTAAACCCAAGATTTCTTAAAAGAATTCCACATACCATTTCAGTTGGCATTCTACTTGAAGTAGCTTTAACTCCACCTGGGTTGTATGAAAAAAAAAAAACAGAGTTCAGATTCAGACCTAATTAACCAAAATAACCAAACCAGTAGCTTCAGAAGGTGGGGAACTTCATGAATTGCCAAATGAATTAATGTCACACAGTAGAAATATAAATACGTTTTGAGGCTCTTGGACACCATCACAACTCATTTGCAGATTAGCAACTAACTGAATTATTCAGTGTCCCTAACGAGGATCATGTGTTCTTCCCGCCAAATGAATCTGAAATAGCAAACTCTCACACCTAAAAATTTACTTGCAGAATATTAAATTTACAGTCCAAAAGGACGACCGGCCAATAGCTTTACATTAATGGTTAAACCTAACAGTGAGAAATGATCAGCAGCATTAACAGTGTAGCTCAAGTTATTCTCCATTGATCATTAGTGATTGGGAAGGTACCCTCTTGATTTCAACAAAAGTCGAGAACTCGTCGCTCATTGGTTGCTTCCATGGCTCTCCATCCATCTGCAGAAATGCATTCTTCCATTCTCCACCTCGAAGTTCAAATCGAATTGCTGCAGCCTGCAGAAAATATTTTTCCAACGCTCATACACTAAAAACCATATTTCTATTCTTTTTTCAGTTTCCAGGCATTCCTTCAACTTGAATTCAAATAACGCTTCCAGAATGACATTTTTTTCTCACCTTGCAGTTTTAAACTTTTAACTAACCATTTGATGGATAAATCAGCACAGCTTCTTTACCTGAACTATATGTTTTGCAGAAATGAGCTCTCCCATAACAAGTGATGCATGCCATCCTTGCTTTAGACCAAAAACTTCTAGAAGGCCATCATCCACCTGTGCCTCAACAAACCCTCTCTAAAAACAAATTGAAAAAGTGCAAGGTAAGTATAATTTCCAATACAAGCTAATAAGCTAATAGAAGTTTGAATAACGTAAAGGAGAAGCAAAATTGTAAATTTGAGTTATAAAGCATGACAGCAGAACCAGGGTGTTGCAAGCCTTAACAAATGGAGATAGACAGAGATTTAGGTAGTCATTTACAGAGAGAGAGACTTTATTATAGTCGAGTTGAATAAGGAATTTAGGGGCAGAAAGAAAAATGGCAGATTATGGTAGAAGGATGTTACAATACCATATACAGTTGAGTTACTAAAACATTTTTTACACTGTTCTCTTACAAAGCAACCTCAACAAGGAATACGATTCCAAAACAAAAACCCAAACTCCTATTCCTCCGGCAATAAATAAATAAATAACCAAGCCATAAGCAAATTGCCAAAATTAGTGCAATAGCAGAAACTATATCATGTTTGATAGTTCTCCAAGTGCAATTGGGCTATAATCAGATTGAAAAATTAAAAATCTGACTGGACTGTGAAAGTGCAGATAAGCAATGCTCGATCTGTAAAGAGAAGAAAAGGAAGTATGTACCTTTTCCATGTACTCTGGTGTCAGATTTCCCCATGGATGTCTGCCACTGCCATAGTTGTTGAGATTCAAAGCAACCAGAGATCTTACACTGCAGGAAACGACTCACACAATAAGGTAAATGCCTAAAGTTGGGAAACAAAAATGGTCTCCCCTCAGATTCAAGCTCAACTTAATCAGACTTCAATCCCAACATATTCGGTGCTGGCTACGTAGTTGCAATATTGAAAAACTCTTCAAACTATAGCATGAACAATTCTACCATGCTTCTTGATAATCCCCCTTTCCTCACTACCAGACAAATTCACGCAGAAAAAATTGTAGAGTTGTACTAGTAATATCTGCTTAGCAGAAAAGTTTTGCTAGTAGCCATTAGTTTTAGTTTGATTGTTAGTTACTCCTAAATGCTGCTGCAACCATTAAGCTGCCACATAGCAGCTACCCTGTTAGTCACTAACACATTCCTTTAAAAGGACAGTTCAATAAACAAAACTGTTTAATTCATCAATATCATGATTCATATTAGACGCATGAAGTTAAAAATACCATTATAAATACAACCTAAGCCAAGAAAAGGTTGCATGATACCTCGAAGGGATTAAAACCTGCTCCCAATCCGAACAATTGACCTTTTTGACGTGCATCCTCAGGATGTTTTTTAGGCCCCTACAACCAGAAAATTTCTTAGAAAAACTGGCCTGCAGATATAAATATTGTTTCTTGTTTCGAATATTTTTAAAACTCATTCATATCACAAAGAAACAATCCTTAAACCCCTTTTTGGGGTTATTGGTAACACATTTTTTCTTAAGAAAAATGTATCTGAATCAGGCAAAATATTACTCAAAAAACTGTTTAGGTTAACAAAAACAAACACTTCACGTGGGAATATCTGACCTTAAACCCGGATCGCTAGAGCAAGGCGTGAAGAACCAGCCTTGACCACAACTGTAGCCAGAATAAATCAGCTGCAATAAGAGATCTATTAGTTGAATAAACCAAGTCCGATCAGAAACTTTAGGCAACGTAACATTACATGATTTACACGCACAAAAAAATAAAGGCAAAAGAAAACTTCTTAGGCCAATTCATCAACCAAAGATTAAAACTACTTCACTCCTGATCATATTTATTTGCACATATTTAAAATGAAGCCTCGGGATCCAAGGTTAGCTACATATTAATAATCACTCTGGTGGAAGACCATTTCCCATAAACATCATAGTACCTTGAAACTTGGATCCTATGGAACTGTTACCATTGAATCATTGATCAGAAGACGGTTACTCATTAGGATCATAGGGGACCCTCCTTACTCACCATATAATAATCACTATGTAAACAGTGGAAAAACATTTCGTATAAACATAGTAACCTTAACACTTGGATCCTATGGAATTGATTCTACTGATCTTAAGGTAGTTATTTTGCAAGATCATGGGAGACCCTCCTTCCCTCACCAATATTCTTCCACTGTCTCATCACTATTTAAGATATTTACTTCTGCACTGTGTGTTCATTTCAATGTTTTTAACACATGAGGGGCAACATTGACTGCTGGGAGGCCAAAGGCGCACAAAAAATATGGGCTAAGTGAAGCAAAAGAAACTTGATAAAGTAATAAATAAATATATCTATTGTATTTTATACTCTAAAAAAATCAATATTTAAAACATGAATTATTAATAAAATTGTTTAATGTCCAAACAAGAATTAACTTAAATAATTAAGAAAAATGAGAATTAAGTTAAATAATTAAGAAACATGAAAACAAAGAAGTTTTTAGAAAAAAAAGGCGGCCCAAAAATAGTAGTTCAATATTATTTAACAGAAGATTACAAGGAACAACCACATGTTAAAAAGGCTAACCAAATACTAAATGCTTGTAGATATCACTTCTTTCAATCTTTCTAGTTATACCTCGGACAGCACTTTGTAGATGGACATTACTTGGCTGATTGGATGAAAATCTTTTACCATTTTCCTTCTTCTTGACCAAACAAATAAATTTTACTTTGAAAATGAACTCATCCTTCCATTTCTATAGAAATCATTGTATATATATAAGAAATCAACTTTAAAAACATCCTAAAATTTCGTAATGAACTCCATTGTAAATCAGGTGCTTTATCATTGCCCAAATTTATCGTAGCTACCACAATTTTGTTTCCTAAAAAGGTTTTTTTCTTTATTTGATAGGAAACATCATGCATTTCATCGTTCTCAAAAGGTGTTTCCAACTGCGACAGATAGATAAAGAATAACCTCCCCTTACCACCTCACCCGCCCTGACTTTACTTTCATCCCAAATGATCAACAACCATCCCAATTTTCCAAGATACTCCATCCCCGTTCAACTTATATTCTGTGAACTCCACAAAGACTTCACCACCCTCCTATCCACAGTTGTGAGATCCAAAGCTTGGATGAGTTAATCTAATTCATTCTTCGGATAATTTTATTTTTGTAATTGTGTAAGAAATGAATTCGTTTAGGTTTAATTAAAAAAAAAAAAGTGTTGAATATATGAGTCTCATATTAATTTAATAAACATTCCAATGTTCTAAAATAACTTTTTAGTAAACCCTTTAGTGGTTCATTTTTCCTCAGAGAGTAAGCAACAAATATAAAAGAAAGAGTGGGACATTGCTGAGGACCCCTATGGTAATATTGCAACTAACTATCATATCATGTTTTTATCTCATTATCTCAATGCATGATGATTTATTCTTGATTTCATGGGTCAGACCAACTTTTAGTGGAAGATGTTCGTAGTTTGAGGAAGAGTAAGACTAATACTGAAGTTGGGATAGAAGCATATAGTACTCAAAATTGAAGGGATAAATTTTTAATCCAACCTTGTTCGCTATTGGACCTTGTGCAAGGTAAGGTTTTTCGTTACGTAAATGGTGGAAGCCATAAGCAACTTGAGCATCCATTCCTGCATGAACAAAATAAATAAGTAAACCTACTTATGCATAAGCAATCAAACAATTAAATCAAGATCATTTGATGCAAATACCCCTAGAGTTTAAAATTGCATACTTTGTTACCATGTGATATTAAAAATTAACAAAATTCATCCCTATGTTAAACTAACAAATAAGAATGCAACTGTGTCCGCATGTGAATTCCATCTCTCCTTTTGCAAGGGAGTAACTCCATCATATGAGAAAATTATATCTCTGGTCTGAAGCCTAGCTCCCTTCACTATTCAATTGATCGATTAAATATGGAGGTGAGTTTTATTTATATTTGCAGACCACAACACATTTGAACACAAATGCATTTTGATACCAACCAAATTTGTAAAAGCATATATTATCCCCTAAATAAAAAATAATAATAATTAAGAATGCTTAGGCAGAAAACCAGTCATTGTTGCACATTCCCATTTAGACCCTTCAATAACAGTCGCAGATAATCTGGTAGAATGATAGGTCTTTGCTGAACAAAGAAATATAGAATCAATGACAACTTGATTACTATACAACTTTAGAACACATGCAATAATTCAATGACTGTACCGTTACTTAAAAAAGACTGATGTCCTCAACTTCCATCTTCGTCAGTAAAACCTATTAACTATAAATAATGCAGAAAATTAACAGAACTCAAGTAATGCCAGGACTGAAAAGGAATACTAAAATAATCCATACTAGGCATAGGCTAAATATTAAAAGTAGAATAATTATGGACCCGATGAACTCCACTTTTTCTTGCTCAGAAAGAACTTTTCTACAGCGTCTTAAACATCAATTTCTGAATACAAACTCTTTTATATCGACGCTTATGTAAATGGCAGGATAAATACATCATCCTCAAATTTTCAAGCATATCTTCTCCGGGATTTATAATTGATGAAAATGTTATTGGCATAAGTCGCAAAGTATCCACCCTTTAGGGTATGCGCAATATTTAGATGCAAATGCTTGATATACCTATGCTGAAGTAATTATAAAATACTCCTCCGTGGCAGCTTGCTTTCTCTGATGATGCCTCCTTAATTTCGAAGCTCTGTGTCCACAAAAAACTTCTACCACTGAGATATAAATCTTTGTTGTCACATAATTATTTGGAAATGAAAAGTCCACGTTGTGAAGATTAGCACTTATAACTTGTTTGTCCAAAAACTTCCAAATGCAAAACAAATGACAGAAAGAAAGATAAGATATATTTAAGGTCAATTTCATGGGTAAAATACCAGAGCCCATCCGGTATATTTATTATTTTCAGCTAGACTATGAAAATATTAGAAACGAAGTACTAAAATGCACAAACCTCATCAAGAGCACCGTCTTCTGTAGGTCTCATGCAATGTGGTAATTCCACATTTATGCTATTTGGTGCAGATAGAAGAACATTCCAGCTGCATCACACAAGATTCAGACTTATAAGAAGTAATGTCCCAACTACATCCATAGGATGCAATAATTAGTTTCACTGATGCTCTCACTATGCAGAAGCACAAAGCACCCTTAGCCATTACATTTACAGAAATGCGTACTATCAAATCATTCACATATGCAAACCTAAACCCACAATCACCATCACACCATGTTAACTTAAATAATAAGCAGAACCACCCTTAAAACTGAGAAAACCGGACCAAATATCCTGCTCGTGAATTACCTATCCAATTTACAAACCCGGCCAGTGGTTGCCCTGTCGAGGGATCTTTTGATGGCTGACTTCCAAGCAAAAGGAAAAGAACCACCCTGAAAAGAGCATTCAATCCTCCAATAAATTAAAACATATATAAATGACTAAATTTTTCATGAGAAAGGAGAACGCACCCAGCCAAAGGTTCTGGATAAGTCATTGCCAGTACCAAGAGGAATTACTCCTACAGGTGGAACAGGCAACCGCCCCTGCTTCTCAAGTTCTAAAAGACAACCAAGAACCCAACCAACAGTACCATCACCACCAGCGACCTGCTCCATTATCCATCGAAAAAATACTTAGTTCCCATCATAACCAAAATTCATAAAGCTACAGATCTACTGTATACTTCTTTTTCACTTTAATCGTACCATGACCCTCATCTTGTCACGGGTCTCTTTAGCACAAGCATCACCAATAGCAGCCAATAACTCGAGGCATTTCAATCCATACTTGACAAATTCATGAGGCTTCACATCTGTTAGGTCAAAAACCTGCATAAAAATTATTGACCTTTGAAGACCAATGTTTAGGAGCATTAACTAAGGAGAAATACATATACTTGTATTGTTCAATTAATCGTCTCACTGAATAGATATTATTTATCCAAAGGCATGAAGATCCAACTCCAGAAATCCCTAAAATTTTTCAGGGAACTAATAAGTTATCTCCACAATCCTTGACATGATAATGCACATCTATTTCTGCAAATACACCTTCTAGTCGAAAGAAGAAACACACCCTTCAAGCAAACTTAACCTCCATTTTTAAAATTCCAAAATTCTTATACGAGCTAACAACAATTACGACTGCATATAATAACTAGCCATGTGAAATTGAGAAACAGGAGAAGCAGTTGTATGGACCTGTTCTTCGCTAATTAGCATCTGGAGCCTCTCCTTGAGCAAGCGGCCATGACGACCACCACTCCTCGGATTAATGAAAACCACCATCGGCGACTCCGGAGGCTCATTAATCTCCGGCGCAAAGGCTGAGCCGGAGAGAGAATTAGCAGCCGGCAATCGGCTCTCTCCGGCAGCCGGGTCCTGCAGGCGGATGGAATCACGCATGGCAAACCGAAGGTACTGCGGCATCTGAAGCTTCTTCCGCAACTCCTCCTTGTCAACGTGGATTCCCGTCAATCCACATCCCTTCAATGACTCGATCATCGAAGATCGAGCCGCGATTCGAGTTGATGAATCTTCTCCGCCGTTGGTCGTTAGCGACTCCATTACTCTCTCCCTCTCCCTCTCCCTCTCTCAGAATCTCAAAAGTAAGGCCTCTGTTTCTATGGATTATATATATGGAGAAGGGGCCAATCGAGTGAAGAAATCAAATCATAAATTCCGGCGAAGTCACATTCATGCTTCTTCGGAGTTGGAGAAAGAGAGAGAGATTTTGAGAGAGATGAAAGCCAAATTGGAGAGAGATGGCGAGAATTTGGTTGGTTGGATTCCATTATAATAACCATTAACGGCGAAGCCTCCGGCGGATTTTACAATTTCTCCTTTTGAAGGTCCGGCGACGGAGTTTGGCAGACAGTTATGCCCTTCAAAAAATTTGGTTATTTACTATAATGTCCTCATATGGATTTTTCTTTTTCTTTTTTTTTCTTTTGGATTATTTTGTTGTAGAAAAAATTAATAGGAGTTCAAAGAAAGTGCTTCATTTTACTTAATTAGTGAGAGTTTTGAGACTTTTATTTGAGGTTCGATTTTGTATGTTAATTTATTAAGACTTAATTTTCGTAAAAATGAGTCAATTTTATGAAATTTCTATTTTATGTTTTTTAATAGAGGATGAATGCAAGAATTTTTTATTTTATGAGATGCAATTATTTGATTAATCGTTTCTTTGTTTTATTTATTTATTTTTAAGCTTTTAAGTAAACTTAATAACTTAAAACTATTCTAGAACAAATTTTATCTATTATTAATTGAAAATGTTCCATCTCTTAAAATTAAAATAAAATGAATGTTCAAAATAATATAAAAAAATTAGGTTCAATAATTGCAAGGTGGAGATTGAACTATATTTTGAAACGATAATATTAGTCTTATCCACTCAGTTATGCTCTAATGGCGTACAGTGTCTAAAGTAATGTCTTGTTAAAATTTTGTTTTATAATTAATTTTAAATAACCATAGTAATTGAATCTATATTTAATTTTTTTGTTATATTTTTATTAAATTAATATTGGTCTTATTTTAGGAATATTATATTACTTTTTAAGGCTGAGAAAATGATTATGTAAGTTTTTTTTTTTTTTAAGTTTGAATATTCATTTAAGCTAGATTGGGTTAAGCTAGATTGAATGTTCATTTAAGAAAGATAAATAAATAATACCTTTTCTCCACACCAATATGTCTAATCGCATATTTAATATTTTAATGACTTTATTCCTCTAACTTTCTCATTGGACCCATGACATGACATAGCATGATAGTTACAAATTTATTGCAAAATGTATATGGCACTCAATATAGTATAATATATAATTTTGGGATTTCTTGCTTAAAAAAATGGTCAAAACAAGCCTACTTTAACGATAATTGACATAAATCTCTAATTAAAAGATTGTGAGTTCGATTCCCACCCCCACATATTGTACTAAAAAAAATCTTGAATAAGTAGATGACGTGTATCATAACCAGTTGAACACTTTATTGGTATCATAACCATAAATTCGAATTAAATATATCAGTTAAAAGACACAAGCACGAGGACCACTTAACATAGTTTCAATCTCAACAACTTTATTAATTATCATGGTTATTGATGAGAAAATTTCTATTTTCTACCCTTCAAATTCTATTTAAGGAATTTAATAGGATATGTGTTACACCACAAATACCCAAGCTGAGTCCTAAAGGTACATCTGAAATACCTACTCTTCTTATTTAATATCGTTGATTGTATTTAATATGTACTAATTTAAGCATGTAAATTTTTTTTTTTTTAGAATACATAATTGTTTACCCTTGGCAGTAAAGTTTAAACAATTTAATATAGAATATAAAAAATTAATTAAAGGTAAAATTAGAAATGTTTGGCTATAGAATTGAATGTAGTCTTTCAACATTCAAGTTAAAAGTTTATAATAAGTCTAAATTTTCAATTATACTAATTTAATTTAATGAGGACGAAAACTCCATAGTCATATATATGCCAACGATTTTTGTTTCTTTGGTATATTTCAGTTCTACATAATTAAATGTATTAAACATGTTTGGTTTCCAAAATTTTGCTAAGAATTGATACGTATTTTTTGAAAGGGAATAACCAAAACATAGAAAGTATCAAGGGAATAACCAAAACATAGAAAGTATCAAGGGAATAACCAAAACATAGAAAGTATCAAATTGGGTTAAACTTTTTGAAGTTATATCTATTATCATACATTTTTTAAGCCTCAATTATCATAATTTAATAAACCAATAACTCTGAAAAAAATTATTAAAGAAACTAACATAAAAACATAGAACAAGTCAAAATAATTCAACATTCAAATAGATTATAAAATTCTTGAAATCAATGAATTAAAAGAATAAATTAAAAGAACATGAAGAGGTGAGAAACAAGATTTTAAACGTTGAAGGCGATCAAAATACTGAAGTTTCAATTTTATGGAAATGTTGAAAGAAATATCGGTAAAATGTCGATGTCGATGGATATTTCTAGAAAGATTATAAAAATAAAAAAGGTGTAAAAAATATTTAAGTTGACAAATAAACATTTTATCATTTCAAAATAAGTTAAGAATGATTAATATTAATATTATGTCTATACTAGTGATATTTTATTGATAATTTCATATTTTTTCAATTTCTTTTACATACTATGAAAATGTTGATTTATCTATCGTGTTAATATAGACACATAAAAATATTATTGAAGGAATGTCAATAAGAATATTTTATATTCTCCAAGATCTTATTCCTCAATTATAGTTTTCAGAAACTTTACCCAAAAAGGAGTGTTGCCATATAAGGAAAAAGGGGAGAAAAACTAATTGGCAGAGGGCAGAAATGGAATTTTAAAATTAGAGAAAGAAAAAAGTGGGCCTTTAACCGTTAGCTCCGTCAGTTTTGACGGGCCCACAAGAAACCAATGGCTTCGTTTGGGTGGAAAACAGTGGGACCCACCAATGACACACGCAACTAACGAATCCTATTGGGGGCTACGAAAGGCAACCAGCTCGTAGGTTTGCAAAACGGCACCGTTTTATCTGGAAAGCGAAAATACCACGATATTCTTTACGATGTTGGCAAGATTAGAATATTCGATAATGTAATAATTGATAGAAAAAAATGGTTAAATTATAAATTTAGTTTAATTTTCGTATTTCGTGGAAAAGATTCTTACTAAATTAAAAGTGTCTAATAAATTTATAAACTTTTAATTTTGTGTAAAGTAAATTAGATTTGTTTAAAAAAATTCATGGATTTATTACCTATCAAATTGAAAATTCATGAATTTATTAGACACTTTTTATATTTAGGAGGCTAAGTAAACAAAAAATTTAAAATTAAAGGTAAAAAAACACGTTTGGTCCATATACTTTTATTAAAGTAACAATTTAATTGCTGAACTTTTAATTTTAATTATAACGATTTAGTCTATCTACTTTCATATTAATTAATAACAATTTAGTTCTTGAACTATAATATGTAACAACTTAGTTCATATCATTTAAAATTTGTAACGATTTAGTTTTACCACGAAAAACTCTCATTAAAATTAAGTGTAAGTTTTTATCATATAAAAATTTAATTTTTGTAATTTATAAATAAATTTAATCATTCGTCGGTTTATCGATCCACATATATAAGAAATTTAACAAAAAAGACTTCACAATAAGGACTAAGTCGTTATAAACTTTAAACTTCAAGGATATAATTATTACCTGCTAAATTTTAAATACTAAATTGTTATCAATTTGGGAGTACATGCACTAAATAAATCGTTACTTTTGAAAGTTCAGACTCAATTACTCCCATAAAAGGATTTTTTAACCAAAATTAAATGACATGTTAAATATTTTTTTAAAATTAAAAAATCTATTAACCACAGACTTAAAAATTTATTAAAATATAATTTAACCCAAAAGAAAATAATTTAATATTTATTATAAAGTCAAACATTAATTTTGCGCAGACTTAATATTTATTTATTTGTACTAAAAAAATATTATTTATTTTAAGAAAGAGACTTCTTCCTAAAACTTTTTTGTTTTTAATTGCATGACAAATTTATGGAGATTGCAATAGAAAATTCCCCAACTTCTTCTAAGTCAAGTTTTTAAGAACGTGTGTAGTTTGTCAAAGTAAACGAATGAAATCAAAATCATCTTAATGAATAACTTGCTTCTCGTGGTCCCAATAAAAAGACTTGAACATTAAAAAAACTTTGTACATATATCTCCAACTACGAAGTTATAAGTTCGATCTTCCACCTCCATATGTTGTACTAAAAAAACAGACTCGTACCCATTAGAATATGTTGACTCTACATAATTAATAAATAAATGAGAGCTAGGCTTCGTTTGAAGAGTGCTTTTGAAAATACTTCCCAGTTAATATCATCAGTAATAACATAAAAGTGTTGTGAGAAAGAAAAAAAATGTTGAAAGGACCTTAAAGTGCTTTGTGAGAAAAACTTGAAGAGGATCTTAGGAGAATTTTAAAGAGTATAGAAGCAAACATCAAAATAATTTGTTATTGCCAACATAATTTTGTTTACGGTGATTTCAGACTGAACTTGAGCAGTGAGAAGATCGATGAGGCCAAGCTTTGTGGAGTGAGTTTGGTGAGGAAGACATATACAAAAAAAAGCAAATATTCCGACGCTTAAGTCAGTAAGGGTCAATCTAAGGTCTCAAGCCAATATTTGATTGCGTACATGGAATTAAAATGAAGCTTTTAGTTATAGGGAGTCGGGCGATAACAACGTACAACCGTTCAATTATCCTGTCAAGAAATCTATTGCACAAGGTCAGTCTGTTGGGTCCCCAAAGTCGGATCACTATGACATTACCTTCAACCAAGTGGAGTTTCACCAAGCTTATGAATTAATTACCTCTTAGTCGACCTGTAGGTAGACCATGTCAGTTCTCCGAGATCCAAGAAAATATCTTCACATACTCATATTTCCTAGCCCTCAACATGGCAAGTTAAATTTTATGCTCCAAGATTGATAAGCTTGGATTATAACCTTGGAGATCAATTTTGTCATTTAAATACAAATCTCTCCCTCTCAGTTCCTCTAATTTTCTCTTTTTTTTTTTCTAAATATTATTTGTCAATTTTTACAAATTTCTCAATCCTGATCCCCACCTCTCTAGTATTCTCTAATTTTCTCTCTATTTCTAAGTATTATCTTTCCATCTTTACAAATTCCATATAAATTTAAATAAATGATAATTTGAATAATAAATATAGAGGAGTAGAGAAAAAAAAGAGTGAGTGA